AAATCGATCCATGAGTGGCACCCACATTTATCCTCCAATGTGAGCGAACCAACCAATCTAACCCTTTCATTTCAAACATAATGAACTAAAACATTGCGGAAGACTTAAAAACTCATTAACAAAATAAATCAAATAACTTCTAAAACTCAAACATTTATTATTATCCCTAAAATCTGGAAGTCATCATCATAAGAACATCTATCCTCAAATTACTAATCTAAGAGTATCTAAGAAGCTAAAATACATAAAAAGCTAGTCCATGCCGGAACTTCAAGGCATCAAGACATGAAGAGGAAGATCCAGTCCAAGTTAGAAGCATTAGCTCACCCTGAAATCCGCTGTAATGAAGACAGGCTAGAGTTGCGGTTGAGTTGAAGACGACGACACGTTTGCTGCACTCCACAAATAACAAGGAAAGAAACATACAAGTAGGGGTCAGTACAAAACACGGGTACTGAGTAGATATCATCAAAGCTTGGTTTCAGAGAACATAGTTTAAGAGTCCTAGAGAGTATATGAAGTTGTGTCCGTATATTCCTATTTATTAGTGTGATGTGCGCCATATCTATAATTAGGAGGCCGCAACATCTAGAAATTTCCTTCACTTCTTTCATACTCTTTTCGTGCATTAGAGTCTATCTCTAAAAGTTTTCCTCTAATTCATGCTTGCGTGTGTTTCTGATAACCATGTATCTACGAAGAGAAACAAGAGGTTGTACAGTTAGAAGGAATGTAGAGGAACCAAAGTTAACCAATGCACCTGAAGTGCAACCTTAAGGGGAAGTTACCAATGCTGAGTTTAGTAAGGCTATTAAGATGTTAAGTCAAGCGCTGACTAACCAAGTCCGAAAGAAACGAGGAGCTAGACAAGAAGGGGCTGACACCTCGACAATCATGAATTCTTGAGGATGAATCCTCCAAGTTTCACCGATTCAAGCATTACTGAGGATCCAGAGAATTTCATTGAGGAACTTAAGAAGGTGTTTGATATCATGCCTGTTGTGGATGCTGTGAGAGTCGAGCTAGCTACATATCAACTGAAAAATGTTGCTAGAACTTGGTTTGATCAGTGGAAGGATGTTAGAGATGATGATGCACCACATTCGAGTTGGGCCTATTTTCAAGAAGCTTTCTTGGGGCGTTTCTTTCTCCGAGAATTGGAAGAGGCTAAGGTAAGGAAATTTTTTACACTTAAGAAAGATTCTTTCCGTGTGTATGAGTATAGGTTGAAGTTCACCCAAATATCTCGTTATGCTCAGGAAATGGTTATGGACATGAGGAGTAGAATGAGTTTGTTTGTTGTTGGACTAGGTGTTCATTAAGCAAAGAGGGCAGAGCAACAATGCTGATAGGCGACATGGACATATCATGGTTGATGGTTTAAGTGCAGCTGGTCGAGGAAGAGAAGTTGTGGGACAGATAAGAGTTCAAAAATATGAAAGCTAAGACAATAAGTAAGTCTGGGCAGCAGAAAGGTGGTGTGAATCGTTCATCCTTTCAAATTCAGAAGGGGCCTGCACCATCCTCTGGTACTGCACTTGAACCAAGAAACAAAGGTGAGCATCATGGTCAGAATTTACAGAACTTCAGAGCTAGACCAGCACAGTCTCAAGGTAGAGTGGCATAAGTAGATAGTTGGGCTCCTGTATGTGCTAAGTGTGGTAGAACTCACCCAGGTAAGTGCCGGAATGGCTATACAAGTTGTTTCAAAGGTGGTAAAGAGGGTCACTTCATGAAAAGTGTCCTAAGAACGAGAAAGGTAGTGGAAATTAGGGCAATAGATCCCAATCTTCATCAGTTACTCTAGCAGTCAGGGTTGCATCTAGAGGAGCTATTTCCGATACTGGCGGAGGATGAAACTTCCTTTATTGTGATCATTAATCGTCAAGAAAAAGAGAACTTCTCAAATGTTGTCACTGGTATGATCAAAGTCTTTGCTTTTGATGTCTATGTTTTGCTAGACCTAGGGGAAATTTTATATTTTGTAACCCCTTATGTTGCAAATAAGTTTGATATCCTCCTTGCGAAACTTTGTGAACCTTTGTTTCTACACCTATTGGAGAGTCTATTCTAGCAAAAAGAGTCTATCCATCAATCACGAGAACACCATGGCTAATTAATTTGAGTTAGACATGGTAGATTTCAATGTCATTCTAGGTATAGACTGGCTTCATGCATGTTATGCATCATTAAATTGTAGAACTCGAGTTGTTAAGCTTTCAATTCCTAATGAGCGAGTCATAGAGTGGAGTAGTAGTTCAGAATTGCCTAAAGGTCGTTTCATTTCGTACCCTAAGGCGAGGAAGTTAGTTTCAAAGGGTTGTATCTATCACTTAGTCCAAGTTAATGAATTGAATGCTGAGGTACCTCTCATTCGGTTAGCTCTTATAGTAAAAGAGTTTCCAGAAGTATTTCCTGATGATCTACCCAAAGTCCCTCCTGAGAGAGAAATAGACTTTGGCATAGACATCATTCCAGATGCTCGTCTTATCACTTAGTTTGCTAAACTTGAAGATATATATTAATCACTTCGATCGAGGCAGTTCACTTCGTTTGTAAGAACATGGGTAAATTTTAAAATTCATGAAATTTGCTTTTAGTTTTGAGATTTGGCTGTTGGAGAACATAGATCTCAAGCTTACTCAAGAACCAAAATATTGGAAAGAAAAAATAATCACTAGCAGACAAAGTGTTCTGGAACTGAAGGCTTCTATTTTCATATATTCTTCAGCATCAATGATTCCTTTTAAATAGGCTTACAACTCAACTAAAAATCATAATTAAAAGGTCACTAACTCAATAGTGTTTTCAACAAAAAAGAGAAACTTAAGGACCAAATAACAATTATCCTAGAGTAAGTCAAAGTGCAGTAAAACACTAAAAGAAACTGTGATAACTTGTATCTTCTTTTGTTTGAATCATTTATTCGACATTCCCCCTTGATTCAAAATCACTAACACCAAGCAATGATCTAAAATAGACATGCTTCTGATATACCAACCAATGATCTAAAATAGACATGCTTCTGATATACCAAGCAATGATCTAAAATAGAGATGCTTCTGATATGGCAGTGCCTTTGTGAAGATATCTGCTACTTGTTCATTAGTGTTGCAAAACTTCAATATGATCTCTTCTTTTTCCATCAACTCACGAATAAAATGGAAGCAAATGTCAATGTGCTTTGTTCTTCCATGAAAAGTAGAATTCTTAGCCATTGAAATTGTGAATTTGTTGTCGCAATAAATTTCCATTACTTTCTCTTGCTTTTGGGTTTAAATTAACCAAAATTCTCCTAAGCCAAATGCATTGAAAAGCTGAAGTAGTTGTTGCGATGTACTCTGCAATAGAAGACAACAATGTTGTTGTTACTTGTTTTTTTGAATTCCATGTGATTGCGCCTGATCCAAGGCTAAACACATTGCCTGATGTACTCTTCCTATCATCCTACGAACCTCCCCAATCTTTATCAGTAAAGCCTAACAATCTGAAATTTGAAACATGAGAATACGAGATACCAAATTCTAACATTCCAACAACATAGTGTAAAATTCTTTTTGCAGCTCCAAAATTATACTTTGACGGATTTGCTCATAAACCTTGAAACAACACCAACAGAATATGAGATATTTGGACGAGTATGAGCCAAATAAATTAAACCTCCAATCAGACTTCTAAAAGTTCTTGCATTAGCTTGCCCAGTACCATCTTGCTGCTGCAATTTTTCATTTATATTTATGGGTTTTGCGGCAGATTTAAAATTGACAAGGCCAGATCTTTTATGAAGGTCAAATGCATATTTCTTTTGAGAAACAAATACTTCACCTTCTCCTTGTTTCACCTCAAGACCAAGGAAGTAATGAAAATCGAAATTAGTCATCTCAAATCAACTCATTATACTAGATTTAAATTCAGCTACAATAAAGTGAGATGAACCCATATAAATTATATCATCAACATAGAGGCATACAACAAGAAGATCATTGTTACCTTGCTTCCTTAAGTACAAAGTAGGCTCACTTTCACTCCTTTCAAACCCATTTTAAACAAAATAGGATCTGATTTTGCTATACCAAGTGCGTGGCGCTTGTTTCAGCCCATAAAGTGCCTTCCTCAGATGATACACCTTTTCCTCTTGGCCACTGATTTCAAAACCTTGAGGTTGAGAAACACAAACCTCCTCTTCCAGTTCACCATTCAAGAAGGCTGACTTAACACCAAGTTGATAAAGTGACCATTTAAGTTGAGCAGTCAAAGCTAAAATTGTTCTTACCATTTTAAATTGAGCAATAGGAGAAAATGTCTTTTCAAAATCAATCCCCTGCTGCCGCGAGTATCCTTTTGAAACAAGTCTTGCCTTGTGTTTTTGTACACTTTCATCTACGTGATACTTTGTTTTGAATATCCACTTTAATCCAAATACATTATTTCCATTTAGCAAGTCAGTGAGCTGTCATGTTTCATTTCTTTGAATTGCCATCAATTCTTCCTTCATCGCATTCTTCGACTCCTTCTTTTCAATTGCTTATTCATAAAATATAGGATCTGAAACAATTAAAGCAAATTAACAAGATTGATTAGAATATCTAGGATTCTCTTTTCTGACTCTTGTTGATCTTCTCGGTGGAAATGGCTCAAATTAAGGTTCTTCAAGTGTTGCGAATTTACATGGTTTAATCTCTTCTTCAAGTGAATTTCGATAAGACCCTTGTCCTTTATTTGGAGAGTCTTCAATGGGTATTGAAATCTCCTGTTGTATTTGTTTTTCACTCCAATTCAAACTTGACTTTTCATCAAATATAACATTTCTGTTAATTATCAGTTATGTCATTAAGAGGGTGATATAGCCTGTAATGTTTTGGATTCAAGACAATAACCAATGAAAATACATTTTGTGATTTTTCATCTAGTTTTTGACGAGTTTGATAGTTTACCAAAGCATAACCAATAGTCCCGAAAAATTTAAATGGCTCATCGAAGGACTTGTACCTTTCCTAGTTTCATATGGCATTTGATTCATCACAGCCTTTGTAGGCGATACATTCAGTAGATACACTGAGGTTGCAACTGCTTTTGCCCAGTATTGATTTTGGAAGTCCTTTACCTTTTAGCAAACTTCTTGCCATCTCTACAACGGTACAATTTTTACGTACAGCTACACCATTTTGCTCTGGTGTGTAGGGTGCAATAATTTCCCTGTGATTTCAGATTCTTCACAAAAATGGACAAATTCATTAGATAAGAACTCACTACCTCTGGCCGTTCAGAGAGCTTTTATGCATAACCCACTTTGATATTTCATTAATGTCTTGTATTTTCTTATAAAATTCTCAAAAGCTTGTGATTTGTATTTTAGAAAATACACCCAACTCATGCAATCGAATTCATCTGTGATGAGTAAAAAATATTACTTCCACTTAAATATTCAGTACTCATTGGACCACACCAATTTGCATGAATTAATTATAGGCAAGTAGATTCTCTCCAAGCCTTTTTGACAAGAAACGAGTTTCTACTTTGCTTCACATAAATGCAACCTTCGCATAAATCAAAAGAATTCATTTCTGGTAAGGCAAAGACCTTACATTTTTGGCGTAGCAACTTTATCCCCTAGAAATTAATATGTCCATACCTCAAATGCCATAATTCAGAGTCAGTTGTTTCACCAGTTGCCAAAGAAAAAATTTCGACATTTGAAACTTCTAGTGGAAACATTATGTTTTTAGCCATGAGAACCTTAACCATTGTTTGGCCTGATTTTTTTATCTTTAATAACACACGCTCTATCATCAAACAAAAGTGAGTATCCATTAGCCAAGAGTTTCTCGACATTCAGTAAATTATGAGCTGAACGAGGAACAAATTGAACATCATCAAGAAGTTTTACTTTACCACAAATGTTTCTTATTGCTACTGTTCCTTTTCCTTCAGCTTGAAGACCGTTGTTATCACCAAGCCTAACAGTCGATTTTAGTGTCTCATCAATTTCATTGAAGATTGATTTCATACCTGACATATATTTGGAGCAAACGCTATCTACAAATCACATATCACCAGCGACTTCATTACTATCATGAAAAGCCATGAAAAACTTACTTTCTTTATTAGTTTTCTCTGCATAATTCGCTTGTTTCTCCTTGTACTAGCAATGTGCTTGCACATGCCCGTACTTCTTGAAGTTATTACATTGTTTGTTGCTTCTATTGCATCTTTGCTCACTGAAGTGTCTTTGTTCAAAGCCTTTGTTTCGGTCTCGACCTCGACTATTCCACGAAATGCACCTCTGCCCCGTCCTCTTCTGGTTGGTTCCTCTTTGTGATCTCTTGAATTTGGTGCCTCCACCTTAGATTGAAATGATTTTTCAACCTGCTTTTGTGCTGACCTGCTTATCCTTGCCTCATGGGCTTGTAAAGAACCCATCAATTCATCAAATGAAAATTTTGATAAATCTTTGGACTCCTTAATTGCAGCCACAACACGATCAAACTTAGGAGTCATACTCCTCAAAAAAATTTCAACAACCGTTTGATTAGTTATTTGGTCGCCATATGACCTCATTTGACTAATAATAGTCATTGCTCTAGATAGAAAATCTTGCATAGATTCATTTCCTTTCATCATTAAAGTTTCAAACTCATGTCGAAGAGTTTGAAGTTTTATAACTATTACCTTTGATGAGCCTTGAATTCCTATTTGCTAAATTCTCCATGCTTGCCTCGAAGTGGTGGCTGCTGCAATTCAGTAAAACACTGTCTCATGGACTACTTGTTGAAGGAAGAACAATGCCTTTGCATCCTTCTTTTGGTTTTCCTTCAGTCGCTGATCTTCATCTGGATCTGCATACCCAGTCTTTATCAAGTCCCAAAGATATTGAGACGTAAATAAAGTCTTCATTTTGATGCGAACTGATAGCTTTGTCCAGTAAAAGTGGGTATGGCTGGCTGAGATATATTCAGAGAACTTTCATTTGAAGCCATGGTGTTTTTCTGTTAATAGTCGTCTGAATCTAAGCATGCTCTGATACCACAAATGTTGGGGAATACATATCTCAAGCTCACTCAAGAAACAAAATATTGAAACAAAAGAATCAATAACTAGCAGACAAAGTGTTCTTATACTGAAAACTTCTATTTTCATATATTCTTTAGCATCAATGATGCCTTTTAAATAGGCTTACAACTCAACTAAAATACATAATTAAAAGGGCACTAACCCAGTAGTGCTTTCAACTAAAAAGAGAAACTTAAGGACCAAATAACAACTACATTAGACTAAGTCAAAGTGCAGTAAAACACTTAAAGAAATTGCAGTAACTTTTCTCTTCTTTTGTTTGAATCATTTATTCAACATTGGCAGGGTAAGAAAATTTTACTTCTGTATAAGCAGCGGGCATTATCTATCTTTGAGAATGAATTATCTTGATTTTTTATTCAGGAGATTGAATTTTTAAGCATTTTCCTTTGGAAAGGTCTAAAATTTGATAAATTGAAATATTAAGAATGAAAATTGTCGAGTCATTTGATATTCCACGTTATAGTTTGAATACCCATACATCGATTTTATGTCATTTTTAGTTCTTTGATACTTTAAGTAGAAAGTTGTAATTACATATTGAACTAATATTAAGGCATCATATATAGCTGATTTTTTTCTCTCTTCCTTCCCGAAAATGCGTTCATCTTCATGATTGTGCAATTTATTTTTCTCAAAATTTATTTATAAGTGACCCCCTCTGACTATTCAGTATATTTTTGTTTTCCTTTTGATAGGTGAGAACATAGCAATACTTGCTTGACATCTGTGCGCATACGACATATGGTGAGTTTAGGTTCATTATACTTTATTGGATTTAATGCTTCATATGAACTCTCTCTGTCTCTCTCTCTCTCTTTATCTCTCTCTCTCTCTCGCTTGCTCTTCTCTCTCTTGCTCTCTCTCTCTCTCTCTCTCTCTGTATATATATATA